CACTTGCCATGGCCGCCCAGGAGCGCCTGGGCCTGCCTGCCGTCGCACCAAACGGCTGCTCCCTTGCTCCAGGCTCGCTGAGCTCAGCTCTCCGCTCCCCACTCCCGATACCAATCAAAGTGGCCACAATGGTGCCGCACACTCAGTAGCCACCCCCCGCCCAGCACTCATTGGCCACTACGCGCTGCCTGTCGGGCGCAGCGCTGTCTCATCGGGCTGCAGCGGCGGCTCAAGGCGATCGCCGGCGCCTCGTTGGCTCAGGCCGGCTGCCCGTGATAGGCATCTGATGGTGACTCGGGGTACAGCCGTGGGCGGGGGTGTCTGCTCCCTTGCTCCGAGCTCACTGAGCTCCGATACCAATCAAACATTCCAATACCCACACGGTGGGAAACCGATCCGGGCACCGCAGCAGAAGCCACAAGCTGTGGGGGATCCCTGCCGCCGCCGCCAGAGCCGGCTACAACGGAGCACCAGCCAGTTGCTTCAACCAGGCCCTCTCTTTCTCCCTCTCTCTCTCCCTCTCTTCCTTCCTCCCTGTTTCTCTCTCCGATCGGGAATCGATTTGGAGGTGGGGAGGGGAGTGGCCGAGGGCTACCTGTGTGACCTTGAAGTGGCCACCTTTGAAAGTACCAACGCTGCTCCAGCCAGGCTCGAGCCGGGCAGAGCAGGCGATGGGAGAAGAGCGAGGCGATCGCCTTCCCGGCAGCCGGGACTCCGGCGCGCCTTCCCAGCCAGCGGGGCCTATGGTAGCGTCGGGATAACGTGGCTCTCTGGGAAAGGAACTTCCTGCCACACTTCTTAGGGGGTGGGGCACCCAAGCAGAGGGTTAATCAGAAGCCACGCAAGGGGGCAAGCCTGCATGAAGAGCCATGCCCTTTGTGTGGGGGAGGGACACAATGAGGGAGCCAAACAATCACGGGACGAAGATGCAGCCAGCCGCCGAAAATGCCATGCAGGAAAAACAGTTGACAGCAGCCTGCCAGGCGGCGTGCGTGACTCCGGCGCACCTTAGGATTGCCTGCTGGCGCCTGGTTAGAGCAGGTGGCCGGTGCTCCATTGTGGGAAACCGATCCGGGCACCGCAGCAGAAGCCACAAGCTGTGGGGGATCCCTGCCGCCACTGCCAGAGCCGGCTACAACAGAGCGCCAGCCAGTTGCTTCAACCAGGCACTGGCGGCCTCAGGATGCCCCACCCATTGCTGACGTTGCCGTGCCATGTCCCATGATGCCAGGGAATCCCCGCCCTGCCGGAGCTGGTCACAATGGAGCATCGGCCACCTGCTCTAACCAGGCGCCGGCGGGCAGTCCTAAGGTGCGCCGGAGTCACGCACGCCGCCCGGCAGGCTGCTGTCAACTGTTTATCCTGCATGGCATTTCCGGCGGCTGGCTGCATCTTCGTCCCGTGATTGTTTGGCTCCCTCATCGTGTCCCTCCCCCACAGAAAGGGCATAGCTCTTTATGCAGGCTTGCCCCCTTGCGGGGCTTCTGATTAACCCTGTGCTCGGGTGCCCCACCCCCTAAGAAGTGTGGCAGGAAGTTCCTTTCCCAGGGAGCCGTGCGATCCCGGTGCTACCATAGGCCCCGCTGGCTGGGAAGGCGCGCCGGAGTCCCGGCTGCCGGGAAGGCGATCGCCTCGCTCTTCTCCCATCGCCTGCTCTGCCCGGCTCGAGCCTGGCTGGAGCAGCGTTGGTACTTCCAAAGGTGGCCACTTCAAGGTCGCACAGGTAGCCCTCGGCCACTCCCCTCCACACCTCCAAATCGATTCCCGATCGGAGAGAGAGAGAGGGAGGGAGGAAGGGAGGGAAAGAGATGGAGAAAGATATGGAGAAAGAAATAAAGTGGAAGAGAGAGAAAGGGAGAGAGAGGGGGAGAGAGAAAGAAAGAGGGAGAGAGAGGAAGGGAGAGAAAGAGGAAGGGAGAGGGAGGGAGGGAGGGAGGGAGGGAGAGAAAGGGAGAAAGGGAGAGAGAAATAGAGAGGAAGAGAGAGAGGGAGAGAGGAAAGGGGGAGAGGAAATAGAGGGAGAGGAAAGAGGAAGAGGAGAGAGGGAGAGGGGAAAGAGGAAAGAGAAAGAGAGGAAAGAGGGGGAGAGGAAAGATAGAAAGAGAAAGAGGAAAGAAAGAGAGAAAAGAGAAAGAGGGAGAGGAAAGAGAGGAAAGATAGAAAGAGAAAGAGGAAAGAGAGGGAAGAGAGAAAGGGAGAGGAAAGAGAAAGAGAGAGGGAGAGGAAAGAAAGAGAGAGGAAAGAGAGAGAGGGAAAGGAAAGAGAGGGAGAGAGGAAAGCATAATCACTATGCTTTAATTATGTCCAATTTGTAAAAATGAAAATACATCCTGCATATCAGATATTTACATTGCGATTCATAACGTAGCAAAATTACAGTTATGAAATAGCAATGAAAATAATTTTATGGTTGGGGGTCACCACAACATGGTGGCCACGCCCACTTGGTGGCCACACCCACTTGGCCACGCCCCTGGCACCCGGTGATGTATAAGTGGTTAGGGGTCACCACAACATGGGTAACTGTATTATGGAGTCGCGGCATTAGAAAGGTTGAGAACCACTGGTCTAGCATATTACTAAAACCCTTCTGTCTGATTGTAACCATTTGAGTGAAATGGCACCACAAGACAATTTTTTAAACAATATACCTATAAGGAGCAGCTGTCCTGAATACATGTGGACAATCTCATGATCGCTCCTTTCTCTGGAGAGATTTCACTGGCCAAGCTCCACCTTTTGTCCAGCAATCTCTGTGGAAAGTGTGCCCCAGCTTCTGGAACATCTTGCTTGCCATGTACACACATATAGTGAAGGAAAAATTATTTGATCCCCTGCTGATTTTCAGTCTATAATTTTAATGGTAGGTTTATTTTAACAGTGAGAGACAGAATAACAACCAAAACAGTCCAGAAAAATGCATTTCAAAAGTTATAAATTGATTTGCATTTTAATGAGGGAAATAAGTATTTGATCCCCTATCAGCAAGATTTCTGGCTCCCAGGTGTCCTTTATACAGGTGATGAGCTGAGATTAGGAGCACTCTTTTTTAAAAAGAGTGCTCCTAATCTCAGCTTGTTACTTGTATAAAAGACACCTGTCCACAGAAGCAATCAATCAGATTCCAAACTTTCCACCATGGCCAAGATCAAAGAACTGTCCAAGGATGTCAGGGACAAGATTGTAGACCTATACAAGGCTGGAATAGGCTATAAGACTATCTCCAAGCAGCTTGGTGAGAAGGTGACAACAGTGTAATTATTCGCAAATGGAAGAAACACAAAATAACTCAATCTTCCTCCGTCCGGGGCTCCATGCAAGATCTCACCTCATGGAGTTTCAGTGATCATGAGAACGGTGAGGAATCAGCCCAGAACTACACGGGAAGATCTTGTCAATGATCTCAAGGCAGCCGGAACCATAGTCACCAAGAAAACAATCGGTAACACACTACGCCGTGAAGGAGTGAAATCCTGCAGCGCCCACAAGGTCCCCCTGCTCAAGAAAGCACATGTACAATGAAGTTTGCCAATGAACATCTGAATGATTCAGAGGAGAACTGGGTGAAAGTTGTGGTTAGATAAGACCAAAATCGAGCTCTTTGGCATCAACTCAACTCACTGTGTTTGGAGGAGAAGGAGTGCTGCCTATGACCCCAAGAACAATATCCCCACCATCAAACCTGGAGGTGGAAACATTATGCTTTGGAGGTGTTTTTCTGCTAAGGAGGCAGGACAACTTCACCGCATCAAAGGGACGATGGACAGGGCCATGCATTGTCAAATCTTGGGTGAGAACCTCCTTCCCTCAGCCAGGACATTGAAAATGGGTCGTGGATGGGTATTCCAGCATGACAATGACCTAATACACATGGCCAAGGCAGTGGCTCAAGAAGAAGCACATTAAGGTCTTGGAGTGTCATAGCTAGTCTCCAGACCGTAATCCTATAAAAAAATCTATGGAGGGAGCTGAAGGTTCAAGCTACCAAACATCAGCCTCAAAAACTTAGTGACCTGGAGAGGATCTGCAAAGAGGAGTGGGACAAAATCCCTCCTGAGATGTGTGCAAACCTGGTGGCCAACTACAAGAAATATCTGACCTCTGTGATTGCCAACAAGAGTTTTGCCACCAAATATCAAGTCATGTTTTGTGAAGGGGTCAAATACTTATTTCCACTCATTAAAATGAAAATCAATAGCTTTTTTGAAATGCATTTTTCTGGATTTCTTTTTCTTATTCTGTCTCTCACTGTTAAACCTACCATTACAATTATAGACTGATCATTTCTTTGTCAGTGGGCAAATGTACAAAATCAGGGGATCAAATATTTTTTCCCTTACTGTACACACACACACACACACACACACATATGAATCTAGGATATTCTTATGTTCATATCTTCAAGAAAGAAGTACACCTGTTAAAAACATTTGACATATCCTATGTAAACAACAATTATAAGGGTGAATTGATAAAAGGCATACTTATAGCCAGATTTTGCTGTTCGCTTATTAGAAGCATGTGCTTTAAAGTATATATATTTAAAATCCCAATGTCTACATGTACCTCCCTGAAGCCATTTTCTAGGTATTTTGACTGATGAAGTTTAGCAAGTAGTTATAGGGAATAAAACATCTTCTGAAACTGCATCTGATGTAAATTATTCTACAATTTTGGTATCAGAAAAAATATTTTAATTGTTTCAGATGTGATCTTTTATTAAACATTAGGACTTTGTATGCTTTATTGGTTAATTTATCTGTTTTAAATATTTTAATAATTACTATAATTTGCCCTTGCTATATGATTGTAAATGGATGGATGAATGAAGATCAAGAAACTGTATTCTAGCTGCCTCAAAATTATTATTGTAGTGTGTACCTGCCAAGATTGATTAGTATAGAACACATGTGGTATAGAACACGTTTTATATTCTATACTAAATTGCTGTGCAAACATATTTATTGTAATTATTGTTTTAATTGTTTTTATATTTTTAGCTGTAAGACAAAATTATATCCTGATAATCTTCCTACAACAAGTGTTGTAATTGTTTTTCATAATGAAGCTTGGAGTACTCTCTTGCGAACTGTTCATAGTGTAATAAACAGATCACCAAGACATATGCTGGAAGAAATTATCCTGGTAGATGATGCTAGTGAAAGAGGTAAGAATTTATCATTGTTTGCATCAGTTGCCATTTGGACATACTTCCTAGATTTAGACTTCTCTTGGTATAGCTTTAAGGTTAGATTCATATAAAGTAGGTTTGTTACCCAGAAAATATTGTGTGTGGTAGGAATTGTGCCTTGGTATTTGAAATAAAATTTACAATTTTCTTTCAGAATAAATGTATCAGGAAAATGTTTGAAATCTCACTTGATTTTGGTATCAGGGCAGATTGAGGACCAAATATATTTTATTTCCAGAATTGCTCATAGTGCAGTATATTATCCATGCGTGCCTGCATTAAAAGAAAAAAAATCAGTCGTGCTATTTCTCTTCTTTCAGTTAAGATGATTTTTTTCTAAATGGCTAAAATCTTGCGAGATTGTCATTTTTCATAAGATTCTGAGTTTTTTCATCTAGACCCTTTACAGTTCAGGCAGAGAGAGCTATAGTACTGAAACATACTTGATTGCACTTGTCAATTACCTTTGGAGGGCTAAGGATGAAAATGTTGCATCCATCCTGGTCCTACTGGATCACTCAACAGCTTTTGATGCTATTGACTATAGCATCACTATAGCAGGGAACTGAGAGCAAGACTTCTGTTTTGAAGTGATTTTTCTTTCTTTGTGGCTGATACTATTAAGTATTGGTGGAGGAAGAGTGGTCCAGCTCTAGGTGCCTATTATGTGGATGTCTTAGGGCTCAAGTCATTATCCTACTTACAATAACATCCTGTTTAATATCTATATGAAGCTGCTGGAGAGGTCATCGACCAGCATGGGGTTCAATGTCATCAGCGTGATGAAATGGTTGCGATTCTCCCCCCCCCCCCGCAGGATCAGGAGTATTGACATCTGTGACTCTGAATGAGGTAACACTCTCCTATAGAGATCTGGTATGCAATTTGGGGACCCTTTTAGACTCACAGATCCTGCTGCTTTCAGCTTCCAGCAGGACAAATTTTGCACAAATCCATCTTGAGCACCAGTTGCACCCATTCCTGAACCAAGAGACTCACAGTCACCCATGCCTTAGTCATTTTCCATTTTGATTACTGCAGTGCACTCTAAATGGAGCTGCCCTTGAAGATCAGCCAGAAGCTGATCTTCCAGAATGTAAAGGTGCACATAATTTTGGGTTCCCCATGTTTCATCTGAGCAACACCATGGCTACATGAGTCACACTGGTTTCCAGTTGCATTCTGGGTGCAATTCTAGCTACTAGTTATCAACTTTTAAGTTGTATACAGCACAAAGCTACGTTACTTGCAGGTCCATCTCTCCCTGTGAGTATCTGCCCATCCTACTAGGTTAGAAAGGGTGTTGCCATCTGATGTTGCCCTCTGATAGAATCTTGGAGGCAGGGTGGATTTGATTTAAATCAAGTCGATTTAAATCATGATTTAAATCACTAGTAAAAAGGCTTGATTTAAATCAACTTGATTAAATCATAATTTTTAAAGAGCAACTGTCATCTCTGTCCCACAATGGCTCTTCCTCTGACCTGCCGTTGACTCATCGACAGTCCCACTCACTTTAATGGGACGGCTGGTGATGCGGCAGTGACACAACAAGGTGAGGGACATGGCAGGCAGCAGGTGAGTGGATGCCTGCTAACAGGTGCTGCCATGATGGATATGAAATGACAGATGCTCTTTAAATATAAGGACTCATTCTTGCTAATAATTAGAATCTTTAATATTATTTGCAAACAAAATGAAGGTTTCCTATTTAGAATAATAAGCTGTCAGGTTAGTAAAACAGCGATATCAGAACCAATTTTAGGTTAATAGGTTAATCACACATACCATGTTTCCCTGAAAATTAGACCTACCCCAAAAATAAGATCTACCCTGATTTTTGGGGGGTGGGCCTAATATAAGCCCTGCCTCCAAAATAAGCCCTAGTTAGAACCCTGCCCACTCAGTCCCACCTCGCTGCCGCAATGGGGCAGGAGTCTTCATGTTGCGCTACTGCTGCCCCAACAAAGCAAGGATGGTAGGGGAGAGGGTGGAGCTGCCCTACATGCCCCACACCTGCTTACTTCAGCCCCCTCCCCAGCCAGGCCATTCCTTGCTCGGCGACCTTTCCTTTCACTCCCTTCCCGAGCTGGACTACCATGCTATTGAGGTAGGCGGGAAAGGCCTGGTCCCCCTCTGCCGTTTCGGAGCCAGGTGGGAGTGACGGCGAAAGGCTACGCTGCCACTGTGCGCCGTGGAGGGGCTTTGTTAGAGAATTTTAATTTCTCTATTGGTGAAAATAAATCAGAAGCTCTCACAGTTGACTGCATTTAGCTGATTCAAATAAACTCTTTATATTCATATAAAATTATTTACAATATCATACATTCTTCTTTACAGCAACATAGCACAAATGAAAACTTCTTACAGCAGAGACAAACCAGAGACTGAAACTGAAACAAAATCCAGCTTCTAACTCCAAACCTTTTGCACACACTCAGTAGCACTTTCTTCACATTGGCTGACTGAGTTACCACATGACTCTTCCTGCTCATGAATATTCCAACACTCCTCCCTTCATGACAGGAAGAGACATCAGACCTATTGATTCAATACATTTTCCATGGTGAATACCACCCAATGGTTTAGTCATCATGTCTGCCAAATTATCCTCAGAAGAACAATGATATAAACTAATCAAGTTTTCTTTTACAGCTTCCCTGACATTACAATACTTAATGTCTACATGTTTACTTCTGTTCTTCACCCTGTCACCAGTTGCCATTTTTATACAGGCAGCATTGTCTTCAAATACCTTTACAGATTCTTTTACATTAATATTTAAATCTTACAACAACTGTACATACCATGTTACTTCAGAACACAATTCAGATAAAGCAATAAACTCTGCTTCCGCTGTTGAAATAGCAACAGTTGTTTGTTTTCTGAACTTCCATCCAATCAGAGTCCCTCCAAACAATATTATAATCCCAGAATTTGATTTCCTTGTGTTTATGTCATTTGCATAGTCACTATCAACATAACACTTTAATTTCAATTTCTCAGTAATCTGTATTTGAAGCCCCAAATTTATAGTTCCCTTTAAATATCTGAGAACCCTCTTTACACCCATCCAATGTAAATTTGTAGGTGCAGCAGTAAAACGACTTAAAATGCTTACTGCACAAGCTATGTCTGGTCTGGACCACTGTGATAGATATAACAAACTCCCTATTGCTGAGTGATATATCTCTTGATCACAGGTTTCACCTTTGTCTGCACTTAAACTATTATAAAAATCCATACTCATGGGTGTGGGAGCAGTATTGCAATCTTTCATATTATATTTCTCCAATAACTGCTCAATTTTTCTCCTTTGACTGAGAATATAACCACCCTTTTCATTTTTCTGTATCTCTACACCGAGATAATTTTTTATTTCTCCCAAATTCTTTAATTCAAATTTCTTTCCTAATTTATCAGCAAATTCCTTGACTTGTGATGCATCCTTTGCGATGAAGCAAAGATCATCCACAAATGATAACAGTAGACAATTCCCTCCTTGTAACTGTCCAGTATATATACAATTATCAGCTTTGCAACTCTTAAATCCAAGACCCTTTAAAGCAGTATCTAAACAGATATTCCAATTTCTGGCTGACTGCTTCAGCCCATAAATAGCCTTGTTTAATTTATGCATTTAGGCTTTGCAATTTCATATCCTGGTGCTTGGATCATATAAATTTCTTCCTCTAACTCAGCATTGAGGAATGCAGTTGTGATATCAAAGTGCCAGATTTTATGCTTATATGCCGCTGCCAACGCCAGAGCTAATCTTATACTCTCACTTTTCACAGTTGGCGCAAATACTTCCTCGTAGTGCACATTCTTTAATTGTGAAAAACCTTGTGCCACTAACCTGGCCTTATACTGTATATCATTATTTGGCAATACCTTTTTCTTATATACGCACTTACAACCCACAGCTTTGGTTCCCTGTGGCAAAGTCACTGATTTAAATACTTCATGGTCTCCCATGGATTTCATCTCTTAATCTGTGGCCTCCTTCCATCTTTCTTGTTCAGCTTTTGGTAATGCCAACACCTCTTTATAACTTCTTGGCTCATACCACACATTGCAAACCTTTACCTTGCTGGCAGAATACCTGTCAGGCGGAATTCCTTTGTTACATCGCTCTGACCTACGTGGTATTAACTGCTCCTGTGTCTCAATTCTTTCTGGCTTCATGTCTTGTTCAGCTTCTCCTCCCTGAACATTGACATCTTCAATAATCATCTTTCCATCATTAGATGAGTTATTGTCACTAAATGGATCACCGTCATTAAGTGAGACATACCCAGAATTTGCATTAATTCTGTCCCAATTTTGTTCTGCAAAATTAGCAGACCTTGAAATTACAATTCTTTTACTTCCATCGCTAAAGCGATATCCTTTTGACCCTGGCTCATAACCCACAAACCTGAGCTTTCTTGCCTTTTGCTGTCCCTTTCTTCTGATTGCTTTTGGAATATGTACCCATGCAGTACTTCCAAAAATTCTCAAATGTGCCAGTGATGGCTTTCTCCCATATAGAATGGCATATGGAGTATTATTAATGGAGGAACTCCACAGCCTGTTAACTATGTAATTGGCAGACAATATGGCTTCTCTCCAATATGACCTGCTCATACCACAATCCTCTAATAATGAATCTTTCATTGTTTGCAAAACACCATTCCTTCTTTCAGCTACACCGTTCTCTGCTGCTGAGTAAGGATTTGTACGTCTGTGTCTTATCCCCAACTGCCCCAACCATTGTTGGAATTTAGTTGACATAAATTCAGTACCTCTGTCAGTTTGCAGCTGACACACTTGTTGTCTGTACCTTCTCTCTACAAAACTTACCCACTGTTTGAATTGTTGTAGCACCTCTGTCTTATCTCTAAGCAAGTAACAAAATCCATATCTGCTACAATCATCAACAATTACCAGTGCATATTTTGCTCCTCCCAAACTGGCTTGCATAGGTCCCACCA